TATTTCGGTGTACCAGAGAAGTCCATTTACAGAGAATCAAATTCTTGAAAGAAAAGGTTTTCAGCATATATTTGTATTATGTTTTAAATCTATGATTTATAATACAATAAAGTTATAACGTGAGACTAATCTCTTGCACGTTAAACGTGAGACTAATCTCTTGCACGTTATTCTCACGTTATAACATGAGAACAAGGTTCACCTGCCAGTTTACATGTAGACCATTTACTGGAACAGTAATATGTTTTCAAACCATCACAAATATCTACATAAAAGTCCAGGTGTTGCTACTCTGGCTCCTGGAGCTGCATGCTCCAGAACATAACATTCCAGTCCCCTGGGCTCAAGGAGACTCGAACAGCGGGCCCCACGCGTGTGTGAGGCCGAAGCTCTATAGGGAGCCGGTCGGCCGAGCGGACAGCACGCTGGACTTGTGATCCTGTGGTCCCGGGTTCGATCCCGGGCGCCGGCGAGAAATAATGGGCAGAGTTTCTTTCACCCTATCCCCCTGTTACCTACCAGTAAAATAGGTACTTGGGTGTTAGTCAGCTGTCACGGGCTGCTTCCTGGGGGTGGAGGCCTGGTCGAGGACCGGGCCGCGGGGACACTAAAGCCCCGAAATCATCTCAAGATAACCTCAAGGTAACCGAGCTACTGAGTAGTCTTAATACTATTGTTTTTTATTCTCCATAACATAATTTAGCAAAGTTACCGCAAAAAATTCTTCGCACTTTATCGGTAAAAAGTGTCCCCCGTGTTGAGGTCATCATGGCTTAGCGAACTGATCCGTTCACAGCGGCTTGTAAGGCGAGATGGTTCTCGCACCTCTTCCCCTACCTTGCCAAACCCTTTAGTAGGGGCGGTAACAGTCTGGTGTATCACATGCAGGAACAACCAAAACATGGCTGGGGATTGACCCCCCGGCCTTATGTACAGCACTCCTCGCCCTTCTTCTTTCATATCAACATGGCAGAGCGGCCCAATGTCGAGCACCAGTTTGCTCTGGGAACTCTGATATAATCTGTGGAAACTGGAAGCATTGCTATACAAGGAATACGATGCAATACGATACAATCTGTGGAAGCTGGAAGCAATGTTATACAAGGAATACGATGCAATACGATACAATCTGTGGAAGCTGGAAGCAATGTTATACAAGGAATACGATGCAATCTGTGGAAACTGGAAGCATTGCTATACAAGGAATACGATGCAATCTGTGGAAACTGGAAGCATTGCTATACAAGGAATACGATGCAATACGATACAATCTGTGGAAACTAGAAGCATTGCTATACAAGGAATACGATGCAATCTGTGGAAGCTGGAAGCACAAATGGGTTTAGGACGTGTAAGGAAGTACTCGAACCCAGCACGGATGGTCTTCAAGTGGAATGCCCTGAGAGAAGTTGTGGAAGCCACCTCCATCCAACGCCTGAAAGCCACATTCGACCAGGTATTCAAACATTAGGATAAACACATTATAACAGGTACATCAAGGGGTGATAGGCGGGGTATGAAGAGCTAGACTCAACTCGCCCGTCGACACCGCTAGGGAACTACTAGACGCACCCATAACACAAGCTGCAGTGCTCATGGTGTCAAAACTATCATCCGCCGCAGTTCAACTATCCAATTACCGCAGCGAATTGTTATGGTTTGGCGATAAACACAAATGATGGAGCATGTTGCCGCCATCGACACGAACTGCAGATACTGCAGCGGCGTATATCCGGGAGGTTGCGACATCAATTGATAGAAATACAACGTGATTTGAACAGTTGAAGCACTTGATGGCCCCTATGTATGTGATGGTGCTGTGACCACTTGCTCCACCACCTCACTATTTGACACCATCACCTCTACGACTACGTCACTATCTGACACCATCACCTCTACAACTACGTCACTATCTGACACCATCAGCTCTACGACCACCTCACTATCTCACTCACTATCAACTTGCCATCAAAATTAACGTTAAAAATGCAAATAATTTATAGTTGAAATGTCTCTTGCTGAAAAATAACGAAATACCTTTAGACAATGTTTATACATTATCAACCTAATATGATAATTATGGATGACTGGAACTGTAAAAAGCTCTCAAAAGTTTTTCTCAAAAAACTCAAGAGAGTTTTCTCAGCTCAAAAAGTTTAAAGTTTTCTGGCTAAAATTTGGGAATTAATTATGAAACTGTTTTGTGTCTTAAGTTCGTAAAGTTTCACTCTCACTCGTCACCTTCTGCTGTCATTTCTACCTCGAATTTTATCATCGCCTTTTATTATGTTGGTCAGAAAACCATATATGTGATGTTTTGTAATTTTTTAAATTTTTTTACCTTTGTGCATTTACTGTGCGTCAAGTTAACGTCTTTTTTGAGTATTACAGAATCATCTCTCGTTCGAATTGCGTCATTTTGTCGACTTTTGCGTTTATATATTTAAATTTCTGAAAACAGAAAAAAATAGAATCATAAAATACAATTAACTGTAAAGTATGCTATAATTTATTAAAGTCAGACGAAATTTTGTTGAGCGTTGCCAGACGTAAGACTCAAGCCGACACCAGGCAACACTGGCCACACGACGACCAAGCAACACTGGCCACACGACGACCAAGCAACACTGGCCACACGACGACCAAGCAACACTGGCCACACGACGACCAAGCAACACTGGCCACAAATATTGAGTTTAAAGGTGTAATCGCTAAAAAATTGTAATCAGTTTTATTTATTTTTTAAATAATAGTAATCATGGCTTTGAAAAGATTGGTTTTAAAATTAAGGTGCTCATCGATAGTTACCTGACAGTTAGCACCGGATTCTTTGAGATTACAGTTAAAACTGGCACTGAGGAGATGCTTGTCGTGTTGCAGGAGTTACCTGTCATCTTGCAGGAGTCACGTGTCATCTTGCAGGAGTCACGTGTCATCTTGCAGGAGTCACGTGTCATCTTGCAGGAGTTACGTGTCATCTTGCAGGAGTTACGTGTCATCTTGCAGGAGTTACGTGTCATCTTGCAGGAGTTACGTGTCATCTTGCAGGAGTTACGTGTCATCTTGCAGGAGTTACGTGTCATCTTGCAGGAGTTACGTGTCATCTTGCAGGAGTTGCGTGTCATCTTGCAGGAGTTACCTGTCATCTTGCAGGAGTCGCGTGTCATCTTGCAGGAGTCACGTGTCATCTTGCAGGAGTCACGTGTCATCTTGCAGGAGTCACGTGTCATCTTGCAGGAGTCACGTGTCATCTTGCAGGAGATACGATACAAAGCCGAGGATGCATGTCACTTGCACGTACTTTACTTTGATGTGAATTATAGATGCGTTACAAGATGAAGATAAGTTTCACCAGCACGGGAGGAGTGGGTGAAGCTGTTGGGCCCCGGCACAGCACTGCTACAAGCTCCTTCACACTTGTCGTACTCTACTGTAATGGGTGACACTTCAGAACAGCTGCATAGGTCACGACATTACGTTATTCTTAACAAATTTTTAGTAGTAGCGACTATAAGAAATATTGCCGGAACAGTCGTGGACATCTTCAAGAGAGAACTAGACTTTTCTAAAAGAAGTGCCGGGCCAACCGGGCTGTGGTGGGTATGTGGGCCTGTGGGCCGCTCCAAGCAACAGCCTGGTGGACCAAACTCTCAAAGTCAAGCCTGGCCTCGGGCCGGGCTTGGGGAGTAGAAGAACTCCCAGAACCCCATCAACCAGGTATCAACCAGTACGTCACAGAGGAAATGTATACAAGGTATTTCACTGATGGTAATTGGCACTTAACAGAAACGTTGTTCAGTTACTGAGGAGATTATCCGTCACAGAAGATAGGTATTATTTAACAGTGGAGAAACGTCGTAGTTCACATCCCAATGGCTGGTGCTTCACAGAACATACAAGATGTCCGGCAGAGGGTACAATGTACCTCAGATGCACAATGCACAATATCACATATGGTTGGTGATGCTGTACATGCGCTTGATTGGTAATTGACATGATTTTCCGGTCCTTGACGTATCATACTTTCCATATAATTGATGATACATCTGAATATATCTCTGTATATATGTGTCACTTGTGATACATGGCTCCTGGCAGAGGGGAGATGGTAGTGAGGGGAGGGGAGGTGGTTGCAGAAGTTGCAGCAGAAGGATAGGTGGTTGCAAGGAGTTGCAGGAGGCAGTTGAGGACAAAGGGAGGGAGCATGTCTGCTGCTCCCACTGGCTGACAAGAGCCAAGATTAGATGATTGGTCTCTACTGCTTGCGTGGCCGACACCACAACTGAGCATTGCATATTTTCGTACTTTGAATGACGTGTTTCTTTGGTCTTCGAAAACCGTAGCGCTGTCTATCTAAAAATGTTATACATGATTTATCTCATTTTAGGTAGAGCTGCAAAGGTTGTATTACTCTCTTACACAGCATCTCATAGTAATAGCTACCCTCCAGGCTTATATATATATATATATATATAAACTTGAGCGAGCTAGTAATACTTTGTATTTAAATTCTTCCAGCATTTTACCGAGCATCTGGTAATTTTAAGACAGTGAGCAAAGAATCTTGACAAGAAATCTAGAAGTGTGAGGGTGTGTGTGTGTGTGTGTGTGTGTGTGTGTTTAAGATAGGCCATATATATACAAGTCGTGGTGGAGATGTTGCAGTGTGTGGAGGGTGAGAATTAAGACAAGTGTGTGAGGTGTAAGGCCCCCCATCCCATCGGTCATCACCGTATCACCCTCGTGTCATTGGCAGCGACACGTGCACTGTCAAGAGACAAGCAAGCGCGAGCAAACTCAATATGGCCGGCTATGTTTAGTCTTGTCAATACGATACTTCCAACCAGTTTAATCTTTTCATTGTGGGAAAGAGGTGGCGGCAAACCTCTCCTCTCCCCCCTTCCCCCCTCAACTACCCCCCACGAGGATTGAGGAGAGGCGGGCGGGGAGGTCGTCCTTGGAGGAGTGGAGGGCTAGGCGGCTCAGTCTGCTCCTATTAACTGGACTGTCCTGTAGCCCCCCTGGCTCTACTCCAGGTCGAGCTCTGGCTAGCGCTCTACGGCTCTAGTCTGTTATAAATGCATACGCAGCTCTATGACCCAGGCTAATGAACCGGCGGTGTGGAGCATGATGGCTTGGGACAAACCTACAAAACCTGTGATATTATATGTTGTACTGTGCACATATCGTAGGCCATAGTGGCTGTCATTTACTGGTAGTGTGAGTAAGTTTGTGTACTGTAGTTACTTCAGTTGAACACCGGAAAAGTGATTAAGAAGAAAAAGTGAACGAATGATTGTATCTGAACAAGTGCGCAGCAAGTTCTTGCATAACAACCTCGTCAAAAGTAAAGTGCCAAAGGTTCCGTGAACCAAAATTTGCCTTTTATAGCAAACTATAGCAGTAAGGTTGAGCGCAGAGAACGCGAGGTAAATACTAAACTTGTTAAGTAGGCAAGTGGTTTTGGCCAGAAATATCATTTGCAGCGCGAGAAGACTGGCGGTAGCGATGCCTAGCGGCGGGCCGAGTCGTCGTGACGCACCGGAGCTGGTGACGTCGTCCCGAGCGGGCCGAGGGCGGAGTGTGTCCCCGGGCGTCCTGCTCGGCCCGGGCCACGACCTGCCCTGCGCCTGCTGCGACCACCTCCACGCCCGCCTCCTCAGTCCGCCCCACGACTGCCACGCCATCAGACACGCCTTAGACGAGCGCCGCCAGGGCGACCAATATATTTCTAAACATTCCATAGATAAGTGCTACGTTGCTGAAGGCTCCGTGGACGCTGAGTGCCATCAGGAGCTCCAGCTCGCCAGGGGGGCTGAGGGGCGCCGCCGCCGCGTCCCCAGCTACCCTATCGATGCCGTCTGCCATATACTTCAGTTGCCTGCGGAGGTCGACAGAGGGGTCGAGTACCCGGCGGCGGCCCAGTCGAGGGAGGATGTGGTCGAGGCGCTGCACGTCTCTCAGCGGGGCACCGTCGGGTACTTCGCCTCGCCGTCGCTGGAGCTCCTCGCCAACCTGGCGGTGCACGACACCTCCGACACCGACAGTGACCTGGGCGACCTCCTCCTCCCGCCCGCGGGGGAGCGCGTCACGCTCTATGGCGACGACGACGACGATGATGAAGATGATGGTGACGACGTCGAGTTGCAGGGCATCGTCGACGGCGATGACGACGACGACGATGATAATGACGTGTTGGGTGACATTGGGGCCGGCTACGAAGGGGACGACAATGACGATGATGATGGTGACGACAGAGATGATGACGACGACGACACCGGCAACGACGAAGAGGGCAAAAGACACGACGTTCTCTTCTACGTCGGGAACGAGGACGACATATTCCAGTTCGAGAGCGGCAACGACTTCGGCGACAAGAATAATTACGAGAGCGACGTTAAGATCTACCTGACTAGCGACGACCAGCAGTGTACGAGCAACGAGGAGTACACGACGGACAGCAGCCACGTGGCGGACGACGCTGCCTGCTGCAGGACGCCCGTGCAGCAGCGGGTCCACACCTCCGTCAGCTTCCCCATGACCTCCACCATCGCCCACCTGCTCCTCCCCCTCCAACCCCTGATGAACGTCCTCCCCAGAGAGCTGGTCAGCGAGGTCGAGGACCTACAGAAGCTCTATCCGGGGATCTCGGAGGATTACCTGCGGACCCTCTGTGAGTTTGGTCTCCTGGAGGAGGTTTCGCCGTCGGAATCGACCACTCCCACGTCGACTCTCCAGAGGGGCCCCGTTATCTCCCCCAGCAGGATGTCGCTGGGGCGCAGAAGGTCGCGGTTTTGGAGCGAACTCCTGGCGGATCAGGGCTCGGTGCAGGTGTCGCCCTATGACACGCTCAACAGCCAGGCCGAGTACCGCGCCACGCCCTCAGTCCGCGGCCTCTTCCTCACCACTCCCACCTCCAGCGCCACCGTCGCCGGGACCAGTCCCAGGGAGCGGAAGAAAAGCCGGTTCTGGATCGCGCCGCTACTGGTGGAGGTAATGTATGGCCCTACACCTCTATGGTACTTCCTCCTCCTCCTGCTGAAGGATGATGTATTCTCGTTTTTGTTTTTACATGAGAGTGAAGGTGGAGCCTCCGCTCCCGCCGCTCACTGGAGCCTTACTCTATCATACCCTGGAACACGACCCAACATGGGTTTACTCTCAGGTGCCAAATTGCTGCTGGGTGAACAGTAGCGAACGGTCATAGATGGGCGTCTACCCGTCCACCCGTCAGGCACCTGCTGCTACTTTCCTCAAGTTACCGGAGTAAAATGTGAACAATAAACAACATATTTACTGAGAGAAAATCAAGTGCAATTCCATAATGTTGCCACTCTCTCCCACTATCTTTATATCAGAAAATGTAACACTAAATTCACATTCATCGTTTCAATTTGAGAAATCTAGGGACTTTGCCAGCCTCCTTTCAGTAATCAGGGGGGGGGGGGGGTAAAAAATAGGTGCCCTATTCAGTCTTAATGGCACCAACAGGACCGACGCGGACCAGCTTATGTCCGTCCCGTACCCCAGAATATTCACCCTGCAAAGTTGGGTGAGGCTAACCCCAAACAGCTGGCCTCCAACATTGGGCTGACAAAAACATTCTCTTTCACATAGATAATTTAACCAGAGGTACTGAGGGATGGGAGGGAGAGGTGAGGTATATATGTGTGTGAGAGGTGAGGGACAAAAGATATATGTGAGTTGTGATTTATAATGTGTAAGAGGTTAGGCATAAGGTGTATGTGTGTAGTGAGAGGTGAGGTATACTGTGTGGAAGGTGAGGTATATGGTGGAGAGGTGAGATATAGTGTGAGGGTGCGTATAGTACTCACCTAGTTGTGCTTGCGGGGGGTTGAGGTTTGGCTCTTTGGTCCCGCCTCTCAACTGTCTGTCAAATGGTGTACGGATTCTGGACCCCATTGGACTCTTATCAAATCTACATTTGAAACTGTGTATGGAGTTAGCCTCCACAACATCACTGCCTAATTTATTCCATTTGTTAACTACTCTGACACTGAAACAGTTCTTTGTAATGTCTCTGTAACTCATCTGGGTATTAAGTTTCCACCTGTGTCCCCTTGTTCGTGTTCAACCCGTATTATATAGTTTGTCTTTGTCCACCTTGTCAATTCCCCTGAGAATTTTGTAGGTGGTAATCATGTCTCCCCTTACTCTTCTGTCTTCCAGAGACGTGAGGTTTAGCTCCCGCCCACTTGGGCTGGATGGTAGAGCGACATTCTTGCTTCATACAGGTCGGCGTTCAATCCCCGACCGTCCAAGTGGTTGGGCACCATTCCTTCCCCCCCGTCCCATCCTCATTCCTTATCCTGACCCCTTCCCAGTACTCTATAGTCGTTATGATTTGCCGCATTCTCCTGATAATTCCCCTCTCGTAGCTTATACCTCTTAGTTCTGGAACTTGTCTGGTGGCACACCTCTGAATCTTCTCTAACTTTGTCTTGTGTGTATCTAGGTATGGTCTAGTGCTTTAACTGTTGTACAAATACAAAAGTCCAAAATGTCAACACTCGACGTGAGTATCAGGGACTTTAGTTGGCCCTGATCTGTGGCCTTGATATTCTTTGCGAGTGTTGGCATTTTGTATTGTTGTTTGTTTTCATTAGGACTTATCATATCACTTTTGGTGATCAGTTGTGTGCGATATTTGTGTTTCTTACAAGGTGTCTTAGCTGACACCTTGAGGGTTACTGAGGGCTACATCAATTATTCTAACACCAATATTTTCTGTTTGTTTATGTTCTTCGTCACCTGGGAAGGATTAAGTTGAAAAAATGATCTCTCCAAAATTTCATTTTATATCACATTATGCAATTTTAACAATTAATTTAAAGAGTTAATTTTTAAACTTCCTAGAGAAGATTCGTGTTAGAATCTCTTTAGTGCCCTCGATGGGGGCAGGAATTCGGCGGCTTGTCAAGATCACTCATTTTTACTAACGGATTTTTGTTTAGGTGGATTTATAACTCAGCGCATTAGTAACACAGTCCCCCTGTGCTTCGCGAGCGGTTTGGCCTGGGTTCGTATCCTGGTCAGGGAGAGCTCACTAGACGCTAATTTTTTTTTAACTGTGCGCATCTGTTCACCCAGCAGTGATTGAGTACATGGTTGTTAAACGATTTGGCGGGTCATATTCCAGGGAAACACGTGGGAAAGGCTTACCATGAGCTATGGGAAGGGTAAGCTCTAAGTCAGCTAACAAGGGTCAGTAATCGCCTGTCACAGTACCTTATCTTGAGGTTATCTTGAGATGATTTCGGGGCTTTTTAGTGTCCCCGCGGCCCGGTCCTCGACCAGGCCTCCACCCCCAGGAAGCAGCCCGTGACAGCTGACTAACACCCAGGTACCTATTTTTACTGCTAGGTAACAGGGGCATAGGGTGAAAGAAACTGCCCATTGTTTCTCGCCGGCGCCTGGGATCGAACCCAGGACCACAGGATCACAAGTCCAGCGTGCTGTCCGCTCGGCCGACCGGTTCCCTTCCTTCCTGTTAAAAAAAATTAAACCTGTAGATGAAAAAGTATCTTCTGTTTTCTGTTGAGCTTGAAGCTGTTGTTCCTTATTCGTGTTACATCCGACCTTTTGAAGAAGTTACCTGGATCAGTATCCAACAAATTGTTCAGTATTTTAAGTTTCGATGCGATCAGCCCTGTCATGTCTGGTTTGTAGTGTTGTGTTAGCCCTGAGGCCCCTCACCCGTTCCTGGTACGAGAGTTGACTTAGTACTGATATGATTTTTCTGGCCGGTGTTGAACTTTATCGATGTTTTTTCTGAAGATGAGGTCTCCATGCTTGGATACAGTGACCCAAGTGGGTGCGCACCAGAGAATTATACAGTTTAATAACTACCTTCTTTTTCCTTCAAGTGAAACTACCTTCAAGTCAAGTCTGACTATTCCTAGCGTTTGATTTTTTAAAACTGCTGCTCCCACTTGTGCAACTTTCAATGATGGATTCTGACTCAAGAAAGACCTCTCTCTCTCTCTCTCTCTCTCTCTCTCTCTCTCTCTCTCTCTCTCTCTCTCTCTCTCTCTCTCTCTCTCTCTCTCTCTCTCTCTCTCTCTCTCTCTCTCTCTCTCTGATGGAGGTGGTGTGGAGAGTGTGTGTTTGACTCTAGCGAGTGTGTGGGATGTGTGTGTATGACTGGGGGTGTGGAGTGTAGGTACAATGGTTACTGGTGTACTACATTTGTACCCAGGTCTAAACTCACCCAGCAATACAGTGGCATTGCGTGCCGTATGACATACCAATACCAGCACCTTAGTGCCATAGAGTGCCAGGGAAGGGCGCTCGGGGGGGCACTGTTCTTGAATGTCATTGTAGTGACCCATAAGGTTGCTTCAATCAGAGACAATCACACGTATTCTCCAGTGAAGTGAGCTGTTGTGCAAGCCCTTCCCCCACCCCCCCCTTTCCCTCTGCCTGTGCCCCTCCCTCTCTCTCCCTCTCCCCGTGCCAATCCCTCTCTCTCCCTCTCCCCGTGCCAATCCCCCTTCCATCCTTCCCTCCCAGCGCCCTCCTCCTCCCAGCGCGTTGAGGCAGTGCTCTCCCCCTCCTCTTCCTCCCCTGCATGATTAGTCATAATTCACCTCGAACCTGAAACACGGAGGTGGTTGGGCTCTGGCGAAGTCGTTAAGGAAGAGAGAGGGTGTGGGCGGCGAGGGGCCCCCGCCCCGGCCCGCCCGCCCGTCACAGCGGCGTCGGGGGGCCCAGACACCTGTGCCCTCACCTCTGTCACCTGAGGGGACTCTATAGTCTCCCGTGTGTGGAGGTGTCAGCCTCCTGTCTAACACCTTCCGCGTCATTTTATTTCATTTCTTTATTGTGCACTTCATTCCCATCCCGCGGGCAGGGGTGGAAAGAGTTACAGAGACACGTAATCGGTTCAGGAATTGAGTAAGTGACCATCATTTGATGCTAGTTACACACACACACACACACACACACACACACACACACACACACACACGTGTGTGGGGCCTCGTAGCCTGGTGGATAGCGCGCAGGACTCGTAATTCTGTGGCGCGGGTTCGATTCCCGCACGAGGCAGAAACAAATGGGCAAAGTTTCTTTCACCCTAAGTGCCCCTGTTACCTAGCAGTAAATAGGTACCTGGGAGTTAGTCAGCTGTCACGGGCTGCTTCCTGGGGTGTGTGTGTGGTGTGGAAAAAAAAAGTACTTAGTAAACAGTTGATTGACAGTTGAGAGGCGGGCCAAAAGAGCAAAGCTCAACCCCCGCAAAAACACAACTAGTAAACACACGCACGATCACGCACGCACACGCGCGCGCGCGCGCGCGCACACACACACACACACACACACACACACACACACACACACACACACACACACACACACACACACACACACACACACACACGCGCGCGCACACACACACACACACACACACACACACACACACACACACACACACACACACACACACACACACACACACACACATGCACGCGCGCACACACACATTTCTTGTATATGTTAACGACATGTTTACAGGCGTAGAGTCCTACATGTCGATGTTTGCGGATGACGCAAAGTTGATGAGAAGAGTTGTGACAGATGAGGATTGCAGGATCCTCCAAGAGGACCTGAACAGGTTGCAGAGATGGTCAGAGAAATGGCTACTGAAATTCAACACGAACAAATGTAAAGTTATGGAAATGGGACTAGGAGATAGGAGACCAAAGGGACAGTACACAATGAAGGGGAACAGCCTACCTGTAACGACGCGTGAAAGAGACCTGGGGGTGGACGTAACACCTAATCTATCTCCTGAGGCACATATAAATAGGATAACGACAGCAGCGTACTCTACACTGGCAAAAGTTAGAACATCATTCAGAAACCTAAGTAAGGAGGCATTTAGGGCGCTTTACACTGCCTACGTAAGGCCAGTCTTAGAGTATGCCGCCTCATCATGGAGTCCCCATCTGAAGAAGCATATAATGAAACTG